TCTTGAGGTACTCCTTGAATCACTGTTCAGTTCATACACCGTTGCACCCTGCCACACTCCCAGGCAGTACGGCACTAACTGCAACACACTAAAGATGCATTCTGACCAGCACAGGAATGCCTAAAGTTACGCTGAAAAAAAAATATTCAAATTTGTCCTTCATGGGCTGAGTAAAAGTATAGTTTCCATGGTTACTTGGCAGCAATAGCGGAATTGTGAATTAGCGTGACGAATGTCAAAAGCTCTTTGCAAAATCAATTTTGTTAACATTCCAAAAACTGTTATCAAGACAAATTAACTCAGCATGTTAAAAAGAAATAAGAAAGGTTCATCTAACATTAAGGTCCTAGCTAGTCAAATAAGATATTGAGGAAAAGCAGTTAGGATGGTACTGAGCACAGACATTATTTGAAATGGAAATGTATAGCTACAGTCTCACATATCACATAAAAGAGCAAAATTGGAGGAAAGTGAAACTACAGTAAGAGATAAAGAATATTGCTAGATAGTTATCTAGCTAACAAGTATTCTTTTTTATTTAAGTGTTATTTAAAAAATCTTGAAACTAAATCTTACATTTAAAAAATCTATGGATTTAATATAAAACGGCAGCCACAATTTAAAAGTTTATTGAATTTTCAATTGATTTATGATATGTATACATAAACTGAAATGAATATTGTTGTTTTTGTATTTGTGTTTCTTAGCATATAATGGTGTAAAATCAAACTTATTTGTATTACGTAATGTTTTTTTGAGAATTTATTACTAGACTGTTACTTTGTGATAGTGGATCTTTTTTTTTTTTGCTTGGAGTAGGCTCCAGAATAAGTGTCTGGAAGATGGATGGTTACGCTAGTTTGTTAACAGTCATATATCATTGTGTTGGAGAATCTTTGCAAATTGCAGGAAGGTTGGTTGGCGGTAGGAGAATAAAGATTATCAAGTAACTATTCAGCCAGAATTAAACTCTGGCTTCACACATTAAGCAGATAGCAGGTCCCCTTGCGTGTAAATCCCTGACCTCTACATCTACAGTAAGGATGATGTTTTGTTTCACGATAAAATTAAAAAAATTCCAAAAGTACTAGTAATAGCAGAAAGCTCATAATGTAAACTTTTTTTTTAGTTTTATAAGTGATCCTTCCTGTAATATGCAGGTTTGCACGTCAACCGTTTCACTGGGTATTTATGGGAGCAGTTTAGATTTAGCTCCGCAATGGTCCTTCTGGGAAACAGGATTGTTTTTGTTTTACGATCCAGTTCACTCACCACTTCACCCCTCCTGTCCTTTTTAGTTATTCCTCAATACCCGACTGCATCTGGAGTGCTGATGAGGTGATTGTGGAAACCTTGTCCTCCGTCATGTGATCAGGCCCCAGATCAGACCTTTTCAATATCCTGCAGCACTGGAGATCATATTATGGGTTGCAGCATTAACTCCATGTGCAGGGGTCAATCAGTCAAAGTTGACATAAAGCTATTTTTTTCCCTAGAGTAACCACTGCAGCCATGTCAGGGAAGCGCGGACAGCACCTAAAAGCAAACGACAAAGGCGTATTGTCAGATTGAGGGCCATGTCTCCATTTGATCAATTAGATTGGTCAAAGTTAATTTCTTTCAGTACAGCGATTATCGACTATGTGGACACTCATATTGAATTCACTTAATGCGTCATGCTCACAGACAGTAAATGCAATGGGCAAAATATGAATACATTTCAATTTTTGTCGCATCTTTATGTCATTGTGACTGAATGCCATTTTAGTATAACGGTTAGGAATACATATCAATTAAATGATATGGTGATCTGAAGATTAAAAAGGATACGATTCTGAAGATTATAAGGATATGATTTTGTAAACAGACCGCAAGTATGAATGGGCAAAGCCTCACAGATGAAACAGCCCTGTTAATCAGCAGCGGAAAGGCAGACTGTAAAAAGCACCTGCCGTAATGTAAGCTTAGGTGTGAGATGGAGCAATAGTTGAGGTATTAAAAACTATTTGTCAGTGTCAGGCAGCAGATTGGCACAGGAGACTTCGCATGCGTCCAATCGACAGAAGCCTCTTGTAGAACGGGGCGGAATCCTGCCGGCAGGAGTCAGACGTGAAGTGCAGGAGCCTGGGGTGTTATGTTGAAGAACATTTCAGAGGATTCTCTATCACGCATCAAGGCGGGAATGGCATGGACTGTGAGTATCTTGTTTGTTTGTTTCTCTCTGTATCAGTGCTCTGCCTCCTATACAGGGGGCAGATTAGTTCGCTGTGGGCTTTGATGCTCCAGAAGGTCAGCCCGGAGCAGATCGATGGGCGAAAACGAATTCTCACTTTCCTCTCCAATCGATGCTTTTTTTATTTATCTGAAGTGGACCTGCTGGGTCTTATGATTTCCCGGGTTCAAAGAGCTTTTTAAGGTATGGCTTTAATAGACTAGGGTAACAAGGTATTTTCATTGTACCCGTGATACTTTGTGTGGCATTTGCATGGTAAGAACTATGGACAAATTGTGACTTCAGAGGAAGTCAGATGGCCGAAATATCTGCTATGACTGTATGCCGATAAATATGAAGCCTTGGTGTAAATATGTTGAACACCTGGCCCTCTAATTTTGACTAATGCTATGTGACTTCCCTCTGGTCTCTATATATTACAGAAAATAGCTGCAGCTACTTGAAGAGTACAATTCTCATGATTAATCTACAGAGGAGATGCTAATTCTAGGAGCAAGTTACATTACTTATAATTTTAGTGATTTATTTATGTAGTTGACAATTAATGGAGTCTCACTAAAACCATGATCTTCATTTATTGACATCCTTTGCTGTTCATACACTATATTTGTAGGTCTTCAGTTTTATATTAATATCAATTGTAGTATGTTTACTAACAAGCCATGCACAAAGTTTTCTTTCATAATCATATAGAGTAAAATAGGAACACCAAGCTGAATTGCAGAAATGCATTCTGGGAGGCATAATCTGGATAAGATTTTATACTTTTCTTGCTCTGAAGTCTGATATGTATCCACAGATTATTGCAACTGCAGAATGTTTCCAGTAAACACAAAAAACTAGTTAGTAGTGACAGTAAAATATTTACCTGAAATTTGCGTTTTAATAACTTTGATAGAATATCAATTTATTACATGAAATCATTATATGATTTAATAAATTACTTAATAATTTAAGTTTAATTTACATTATATACACAGAACTCTGTATCTATATACATATTGTACTTTGCTTTTAAAAAAAATGATTTTAATAATTCGTATAGTATTTTTGTACTGTGCTTTGAAATACGCATATAAGAGTTATGTTGGTGCTGTTCACCAAATTTGAAATTATATACAAAAGATGCAGTCACCTGATATCTCATATTATACTCTGTCATCCGAATGTTATATTTAGATAATATGTATATTACTGTCAGACTAAATGCTAACAAATTCATTATTGATTTATACGTCGGTATGTATGTTTACACTAGCAGACACACACAGACACATACACACATACACAGTACAAATGTGTTTTGCGTCATATGGGTTTTCTCACCTGCTGTGCACATACATCGTTGGGTCCCGAGACTCACGCGCTATTGGCCAATGTTGACAGGTTGCTGGAGGGGGTGTGGTCTGATTATTCGGTCGATTGCAATGCGCATGTTCAAAGTGCCCATGTGCTGAACATCTGTGCAACATGCGATGGGCTCTTCTCCATCTGTGCATTTCAAGCAGCGTAGTCTCACTGAGTTTATAATACATGTTTTGATTTTTTTTTTTACTTTTTATTTCTTGAGACTGATAACATTCTGTTAAATTACTGAGTTTTGACAAATTTTTCTAGGATTTTGTATATCTCTACAAACTTTGCGGCACATTGTATATAGCAGGGATAGGCAACCCTGATCCTGGATTGCCAGAATCCAGCAGGTTTTCTATCCTACCTGATGAGTTACTATCTGCCTGAGATCAGGTGCGGATCGCCAGACACCAGGTAGGATGGAAAACCTGCTGGATACTGGAACTCCAGGATCAGGATTGTCTACCCTTGGGTGTACAGTATAATTTCTAAAGAAACATCCATTCAATATCAACATGCTTATGCTAGTTGCATTATGCTGGTTGCATTAGGGTCACAGGGGTCCGGGAGCCTATTCCAGGCAGCACAGGGCACAAGTCAGGGGGCACACCCTGAATATGGGATGCCAGTATTAATGTGTGTATATACACGTGCAGACGCACGCACATACACACACTCACGGACGCAAACACACACACACATACCCACACGCACACACGCAAATGCACACACACAGACATGCACACACATGCACAAACATATTTACACACACATACTTACACACATACACATACACACACACACATAAGTGTGTGTGTGTATATATATATATTTATGTATATATATACAGTATATATACACACACAGTATATATTTTAAATATGCAAGTAGAAATTATTGATATATACTGTATATATGTTATGTTGTTTTTCTTTATAATTGTCCATAATATTTCATCTTGAATATTGATTCATGTCTCAAGAAATACATATAAAACATAAACAACACTGAATTGCTTAATTATTGTGAATATAAAATTACTATAATTATACAGTCAGTTTTTCGTTGTTATGCATCTAGACTCGTAGTTAAATCAACACACAAGAGAAGAAATGTAATAAGGATTTAATATTATGATAAGTAACATTTTCTTTTTCATTTGCTAAATAGCAGTCTGTATAGAACGTGCTGGAAAGTGAAGAAGCCAGACATCACATTATTAGTAGTAATATACGTTTCCCACCCATTGGGGGAGACAAACCTCCCCGGTTCCAGTCTGACCAATCCGGGCCACAGGAAGAGCTGTCCTGTGCCGTTGCTTTACCCGAGGGGCCATGTCACGTTACCACTGGCATTAAATCAGCCAGTCTCCTCTGGGCAGACAGTCACTGTAGTTTTGATGCGGCATCACTGACAAAATGAGTCTGGCGTTGTTGCTTGATGATAATTGGCTCGGAATTGCTTGATACTCTGTCAGTGTTTCAATGGGAGCCTCGGGGTTATGAAAAGCATGTAATATCGTCACAGATGCTGATGACGATAATGACCATGAAAATACATTTACTTTAAAAATCACTATTTAGGTTGAGCTCACTGTGGCTTTAAGATAGTTACAAAAACAATCATAATAAACAATACGGATCTAAAGGGCATAGGTTTTAATACCTACTGCTGTAGCTTTATAATACGCTGTTAAAATACAATCTGTGAGGTGCACAAAGCACCGAGCTTAAAACTGACCGCGATCATCAATGGACGACGCCGAACAAATCATCCTGCAGACTGCACAGGTCGCTCTTTATTTTTCCAGCAACCTTGAGGCTGAGTAAAAGACAGTTTTGTTCCGGCAGCCTTGGCTGTCACCGCGACGCGCGTCCGGGAATGCGGAATGGGACTCCTACAGTATAGCAGGCCTTGTCATACTCTTTGGGCTGTGATTATTTTAATAACTGCGTTTTTAGAAGTTTGTGCATTAAATAGGATAAAGGAGGATAAAGTTCTCCCTATCCCATCACAGGACACTTTTCAATTTATTCCAGTAATATGATATGCGTTCATGTACCTTGGCGTGTTTCGTGTTGCCATTATCAGTATTAATATGACGATAATGTACGTGACTGCAGTATCGTGATGTGAGGAAGAGGCTCAGTGGCTAGGTGGGTTCGTACATAACGGTTTTTTTGTTCACCCCTCCTGTCCACCTTTTTTATATTCACCCTTATAATTACCTGTCAGTTACTCTAGACAACGGGAAGTAAGAAGGCATGCAGTCCTTTGGCGGAATTTCACTCCGTGTAAATATAAAAGATAAGTAGCGAACAGCGCAGAATAAGTGGAGGTATAGCAAAGTTTTAAAAGACAATAATCTTTTAAACTCTTCCTTAAGCGTTTAATAGCATAAAGTGCATTACTTGTAAGGGTAAATAATTTTATTTTCCGCAAAAGGTTTAAAACAGGGTTAATGGCTTCGTAGTATATAGTATACAGGTTTGCATTAAGCATTATAAATCATTATATAGAAATTATGAACAATAAAAGCCATAACCAATGATATCAGTTTAATGATAATATAAGTACTTATGATGAATATGATTTTTATTATAAACATCACCGTTATGTCCGTCTGTTATTATGATGCAATTTTTTCTAACTATTTTCTTTTTATTTTCTTAATAAATTAAGCTGAAGAAGCCTCTATCCCGTTTCTGGGAGTCAGGTAAATTTAGCGGCAGCTATAAAATTAATTGAGCCGGAGGCGGCGCGGATGAGCCGGAGTGATGGCGCGTTACAGAACCGGCCGGGACCATTAGCTATTAGCGGGGATATCTGATGATCACTGCGGGACCTGGCCTGCCTCAGAGGGGAAAGGGGCAGAGTGCTTTTCCCTGTACCTGCTCCGGGGCCGGAGGAGTAAGGAAATCCCCCTGCCGAGCCTCGCGCGTTTAATGCACCGCAGTAAACACACGGAGCCAGGCTGTAGCGCTGCCCTGGGAGCGGCGGTTTATTAGAGTAATTAACAGCTGGGCGGCCAGGAGGAGGGGGGCGCGCGCCGCTTCTGGAGAGGCTGATGAAAGATGATAGCCGGGATCTCATCCCCTGCACTTGTTTAGAGATTGTCAGGAAGAGAAATGTCAGCATTATAAAAGGGCCACTGTGCTCTTGATATGATAAAAACCTTCAAGCGAAAAAAGGGAGAGAAAAGGGAAGAGGAGAGAGATGCTGAGACGTGGAGGGGGGGGGGGGGAGGTCCGCCCTTCTAGAGGCACGTTTGCTGTGGTTGCTTTTGATTTGCCCTTTTTTGTTACAGCTGGCAGGAAAAAATAAGATTAATCTTTCCAGCCTCCTCCTTCATTCCTGTTACATCCTCTGCTTTTCTTCTTTTTTTTTCGCTTTAACATACATCTTACAAGCCCTAATGCCTCCGTGAAAATTACATCGTTAAAGGACGGTGTTTCCAGACCTGGAACTCCTTCCACCATCCCTCCGAGCTTTCAAACAGTCAACAGACTGTAAAGAATAAATAATAAAAAAGTATTGATTATTTTCGATGACCGCCAGATTCAATTAGGTATTAATTTTGCCCTCCAGTGGACCTATCAGGTTGTACAAAAGAGAGTGGATTCATGGCGGGGGGCAGCTGGGTTTAAGCAGGGGGACGGGGGGCTTTTACCGGTCTGAGAAGGGAGCAGTCTGCCGTGTCGATGTCGGTGTCTAAGTACCCCGCACACGGAGACCTGATGACAGGAGGCGTTGTTCGTAGGGGTATGAGTATTGACCCATCACATCACATCTAATAACACCATTAACCGTTTTTATCGATTAACATTTTCATAGATTATCGTCATGTGTCATAACGAAGTTCCTTAACGATCACATTTAATAAAAGGCCCCGCAGACACGCTCCCATCGACCGTCTCGGGGGAGGACAAGGGGGTGAGTGGATGGAAGAACTGTGTCCTCTCCTCTGCCCCCCCCCCCCCCCCCCCCCCCCCCCCCCCCCCCACCCGCCCGTATCCCTCAGGCATATGAACGCCAGTTACCTGTGCCCTGCTGTGAGCCTCTTATCCAGAAAGTTCTCCATAAATAACAGCAAGGGAGGAGATGGTCGTGTATGTCCTACAGCAGGACAAAAAATCGGATTCTCCGTCCGAGGATGGGCGGAGTAACAGACAAGAACTACTTTGGAGATCCCTGGCTCTGACCCAAAGCTTTACCCGGTGGCTGGTTCTGAAGCTTCAGTGACACTGAGGGAAGGTGCACAGGGAGATTTTATTCTGCTGGCCATTCTGCGGCTCTTCTCTCTGGGTTTTTGTGCATATATTTTAATGATAGGTTGTAAACTTTTTCCACAAAGTTTCTGCCCAATGTGGGCATAGTCTTCAATGAGAATGGCCCATATAGCTTGGCGTTTGAAGGCTGTTGGTGGGATTGTGTCGTTCGTGTTCTGCTGGGTGTCATACAGAAGCTCTCTCAATGAAATGTGTCCTGTGGTCTTTTTTTAAATTCATCATTTATGATGTCATCAATTATTATGACATCATACAGGTAGTGTTGCACACCTCTCTCATTGATGGAAATGTCAACACAGGGCAATTCCAGGCCCTGCAATTCCACTGCAGTGAAATCAGCCCCCCTGCTACGATTTACAGTTCTGCACATTATTATACATGCCTTAGGGTAATAAACTGTCCAAAATCAGATCCTCAGTCGTCCTTTCATCCTGAGTTTTTGCTCCCTCCATTCTCAGACAGATTCCTATTGCGTGTAGCTGCACAGATGCGTATGTGTTTAAGATGGTCGCAAGCAGATTTTGACCCCGCGCCGCGTGGATCTTAATGGGGCATCTGCGCTCCGACTGGCCAGTGTGGGGCGTCATTAATAGGCTGGGGAGTAATGGCAAAGGCATAATGGGCTTCACTTGACTGCAGCCCGGCGGTAACAGCAGGAGAAGCATCAGCCTCAGATAAGAGAGGGGGGGGGGGTTGCTGTGAGTGAGCAAGAGAGAAGTGAGGGAGAGAGAGGGGGTAGAGAGAGAGAGAGAGGAGGGTAAAAAGAAAGAGTAAGCAAGAGAGAGAGAAAGGGAGAGAGAGTGAAAACGCACGCCGTAGCTAAGCGGGCTTTTTTCCCTTCCCACCTGGCTCTCCCACTCCTCGCAGGACCCGATGATCAGCGGGCAGCTCAGCAAGCCGCTGCTGTCCCTGCGCAGCGACATGAGCGGCGCCGAGCTGCGGCCCCAAGCCAGCGGGGCCCCCACCCCCGACCACGAGCTTGCCGACTCACCGCCGTCGCTGCCACCACCGGCCGAGGTGACCGACGGCGACGACGCGCCCGCCAACCTCTTCGGTGAGTCTGTGAGGGTGTCCTGTGACCCCTCCCTCTTTGACAGGGAGCCAGGGGTTTTGGAAGTTCTGTCTGCTTTGTTATTAACAGTTGGCTCATGTCGGTTTCTGCGTGCAAACGGCGCCAAAGAAAGTTAGTGGCGTGCCCCAAAGCTATACTCTACACTACTCTGCTGTACCCTGCTATATTCTGGTGTGTTCTACTGTACTCTGCAATACTCTGCCATGCACTGCCATACTCTGCTGTACTCTGCGTGTGTGAGAGTTTTACCGGCTTGGCTAGAACAGGATACCAGGCTCTCTGCATCAACTGCCAGGAGAAAGTTAAAGCGAGTTTAAAGCGAGCAGGTAACACACTCCGGTGTGTTGAGGGATTTGACATGCTGGCTGGTGCTGATCGCTTTGTGTAAACTCTGAGAAAGAACCTAAAATCCCAGCCTGCATAATAACCAAATCAAAGGCCTGTGTCGATAATGGAACTTTACACTTCAGATTGCACGTTCGGTACATACCTTTGGTTAAATTTTGTCATGGCTGCGCAATCATTTCAGAACACTGCAACTTTTGTTCAGATTTGCTTCTTTTTTAATAAACCTAGCCAGACCGACAGAGGTTGTCCGTGCTTCTTGTGCTCTTTGATGTCTGCTAACTACTACAGACGGTCCATGAGTTATGCATCACTTTCTGTGGACTTGCTCAGCTGACAGCGAGAGGAGCGTGAACACATGCGGAAGTGAGAGTGCTTTCCCTTTTGTTTTTTTTTTGTCAAAGCGTGAGAGGCTTGCAATAGTCCTTGATTGATAATGCTGACATCTCATGATATCTGAGCATTTTTCTTGAGCCGCCGACGAGATATGAAAGTGAGCCTTGTTTTGGAGACACGCTTTGTTTTGCGTGAAGTTTGTGCAACATATTGGTGACGCTGATCGCTTCATGCAAAAGGGTTATTACAATGTACTATAATATACTTAATCATCATGTAATTCTGTGCAATATTTTAAAATCATTACAATAAGCAAACTGACCCCAATTCAGGAAAAAATCTGGAAATATAATTACTATACAAGTATGACATTGTATTAGTTTTAAATTCACATTTAAGTATAATTATAGCATGGGATTAAATTGCTACGAAACACATACATTAACATTATTTATAGTATATTTCCAATCATCCATCCATCCATTCATCCATCCATCCATCCATCCATCAATCTTCTATGCTTATCTTGTTCAGGGTCAGGAGTATAGTAGATTTGTTTTCAGTTATATGTATTATATGTAGATTAATAACAATAAGGTACATATTTTGCTTATATATATATATCACAAGATATATAATATTGAAATATTTTAGAAACAAAAAAAAATAAGATGAAAGTTAAGACAGATTTATTCATAATTGAAACTTTCTAAAACATTATAACTAATATTTAAATTTTATTATCATTCACAAAATTAATGCTTTAACAACTGCATCAACAAATTACAAAACATATTAATAATAAGCTTTTAGTTGTGTCTGCCTTTTCAAATATCATTAATTTATTTTTGCCTTGAAACAAAAAAGTTGCCAATGACAGAAAAGTAAATGAACCTCTTACTTCATTCATACTTTACAGTTTTGTTTATAGAAATATCAATGGAAATGAATCCTATATGTTATTGCCAAACACAACTCTTTAATATGGCTAAACAACATTAAATGTTATTGATAGAACAGGCATAAGAAACGGCCACTTATTTTCAGGAAATTAAAATTTGTGTCTATAGTCTATCTAACAGGATAGTGAAACGAGACTATCCACATCAAAAGAAGGGAAACAACTACAATATTAACAAATGCACAATGTACCAAAAATAAATCTAGATAAGAAAACTTTGTAAATGATAAATTAGATAGTCATGTATTTTTTTAAAAATGTTCTACCATCCAATTGATGCAATTTGGTATTAAAATCATCACTGAATTAATGTTCCTTCCTGTTAGTGGTGAAACAACTTGGTCAGTTTAATCATTCCTATCTATCAATATAATATTTGGATATTGTACAAAAAAACTTCAGTGGAAAAAAAACTTTACTTTTATTTTTTCTGTTATCCCTGTTTTTTGTCTTGCATGCTGTCAAGCTTTTACAAAAGCACTCCGACCAGCCAATGACACTCAGCTAAATAAAAATAACGCAGCTTTAACCGCGATGAACGGCTGAAAAACAAATGGTACGGAATCAGGAAACAGAGCAGAGAGCTGAGTTCCAGTCTGAGGGGGCAGAGGAGGTGGCCATGGCCAGAATGGGGGGGTGGGATCCCACGAAGGACGGAACCAGAGCACTGACCAGCGGCACCCTCCCCCGCATTACCTATAACGTATAGGGAATAACCTGCCCCCCCAAGTGAGCAAGCCAGGGATGCTACGTACCATAGCCAGGAACAGGGCAAGCTAATTCTGTAGGATTTGGGGGGTGGGGTGTGCACTGCTTAATGTTCCTGCAAGTACTTGTTTATGATTAAATAAAGCAATTTAAATATAATAAAATGGAGGCAAGAATCGACATAATCCGGTCAAAATTGAATTAAAAGTCAATATTAGTAGCGCAATAAGTGAAACGGGTGCAGTCTAAATTTGCATTAACATGATATGATTAATCCTGCTACTTTTTAATTCTAACGATGATCATAATAATATTAATATGTAATTTAGATCATTTCATTCAATTGCTGTATAACTACATAATAATATAAGGCAAATTTCATGAATAGTATTTTATGTTTTTTGCTGTCCTTGTTCTTTTTTGTTGTTAGATATAATGACAGACAGATTGTAAGCTTGCATTAGGCTGCTTACATTCTCTGAGTCTCAGGGTCTAGGTCTGTGACGATGAAACATTTCACCTGTGGCTTGTTTTTGGGTGACTGTTCAGGCACCGTCAAAGCAGTTTTTGACCCCAGAATGAGATGGATGTCTCATGTTTTTGTTTACTTTGTTTGGGTGTGTATGCGTAGTGGGGGGGGGGAGGGGGGTGATGCAGAACAATGGGTGTTTTTGTATGGAAAGATATTTCTATTTAAATGGAACCTTGATTCTTTCACATGTGATAATTATGATGGTTTTTCTTATTTTTCCTTTAACATACATGCGTGTGTTTATAGCCATTGGCGATGTGTACACAAAGCAAGTTTCAGTTTCAGGCAGCTTACAGTATTTTCTGTCCTAAGTTATACAAAAAATATGTATAGATCAAATAAAGTAAAATGCAGAACACACAATTCATGAAATTTCTTATTGATTTCTATCTCCCAAAAGAGTATTTAAAAAAATCACCTTTTTCATTTACATATATTTAAAATGTATTTCAATTTTGAATGTTGAAGTGGTAGTTATGACTTACATGAAATCCACTTTTAAGTGACTCGCTCCTCTACGTTTTATAGAAAAGCCCCCAAAGCATGAAATTAAGGAAAAAAATACTTACTGAAGCATAGTAAGGCTCTCCCCGCTTCCTCGAGAAGGAGGTCTCCCTTTACGTTCACTTTTCACCGATCTCCCAGTGCTTGCAGACATCTGATGTGATTTTTAGTGAAATAGCTGGATATATTTTTATGACTTGCCTTTGGTCCTTTTTCCATCACAAAAATGGCTTGTATGTTTAATTAAATACAATTAATGCCCGCCAGCAAATGGCTGTCAAATGCACAATGTATATATTGTATATATAACTATAAGAGCTGTTATCTATCACTATTACGCAACATGCATTCCGGGTCTTACTGGTTTTCTTCATGTATCAAGTATTGTATGATTTGTTTGATCCATCAGCTGAATAATACTAAACTAGGTTTATATTCCATTCAGTTTAACGTTAGGTAGTAGCATGTTGATGTGTAAGGTGAGACAAAGGGAAAGCGTGCGCAAGAGCGCCATCCAGAGCCCCCACTGCTGCACGGACGTGGCCGCTAATTTCATTAGCCACGGCTGCCTGTAGCCGGCTGCTGGATTAATGGTGTGAGACCGGCCCACCTGTCAGGGCCAAGCAAACCCAGGCAATTGGAAACTGTCAAGAAGTGAAGCCGCCTTCAATTGAAAGGAAAAAGATAAGAAAAAAGAGAGGGGGGGGGGGGGAAGAAAAAAACACATGGTGTTTTGCGATAAATAATACAACAGAACACCTCTTATGGGGGGGTGAGAATAAACAGGACAATGTGAGTAATAAGGGAGGTGATGAAAGGAGTGGTCTGGAGGAGGAAAAGGAAGAGACCGTCGCGGGGTTTGTTTAGTGCCGCTACCTGCCGTCTGCCAGCGCGTGTCGCCGCTCCATGTAGCCGCGCGGCTCGCATCCCTGCGTCGTCTTTCAGAGGCCCTGGTGATAAAAGGCGAAAACTCCACCAAACTTTCTGCTGTTAGGTTAATGAATTTTTAAAGGATATCCCTAGGCAACAATCTCCAAAGAAGGCGTATGGTAACTATTTCAAAACACCAGCGTAACAATTTTCTTTAATAAGCATTGAATTGTGTTGTGTGCCCCCACCCCCCAAATCCCTTCTGTCTCTCTCATCTAACATTCTGTCTGTAATGCTATTTTATCACTAGATCACGTGACTGTGATTGCATTTATTTTTTTATTTTTGCTTTCAGTTGGCTGATAATTAAGGCCTCTTCACTTTTATGGCATCTACTGGGTCTCTCTGCTCTAAGATTAAGGTTATTCTGTCATACTATATTATTGCCGTTATTTGTGTTTACATATTTGGCAATAATAATATTTGAATAGTCAATTCACCACTCAATTAACCATGAATGCAAAGGCAAGAAAGTATTCTTCATCCATGCATCCATCCATTAATCCATCAAAGATCTTTGTGGGGACCTGAAAAATGGTCCCCACAATGTCAAAATAGCAGGTTTTTATCACATTGTGGGGTACATTTGGTCCCCACAATGTACCATAACCCTAATCTACACACACACAACCACACACACACACACACACACACACACACACACAC